GCCACGCGGCAGCTGGAGCTGCGGCCACGTGGCAGCTGGAGCTGCGGCCACGCGGCAGCTGGAGCAGAAGCCGAGAGATTTGACCCATGAGGAGGAGACGAGAACGCAAACATTTTGTTCGTGTCCGATGTACTTCTTTCCACACTCGCACACTTCTGGATCCAAAAAAGGAAGAACTGTTTCATTCAAAAAATCGACGATTCCAGAGGACAACAGTGCGCTACAACCGTCTTATTACCTGGAACAAAACGAACCCCGACAACTACGATTTTTTTTTTTTTTTTTTTTTTTTTTACAACGACTACTAATTAATGTGCATACAAGCTAATTTTCCGGCCCAATACTGTCCTGATGAGGGTGCGTTGTGTTCGGGGGAAGACGGTAGCTGCTACAACAAGGCGGGGCGAACAAACCACCTACCACATGCTCTGCTTCTTAGGGTCTCGCTTCACTACTCTCCACATCCACAACACACAAGAAATATGGCGCTATATATTTCCATTTTCTAGCGGAAGTTTCATTGTCATTTTGCACATTTCGTCAGTAGCGGAGCGAGAGGCCCTTATTCAGCTGCCTCGCTCTTTCTGCCTGCCAATGGATTCCTCCATGATGAAGAAATATCGAACCTCCTACAGACAGAAAAGTCGAAGAACCCAATCAACTTTCTTCTTCTTCTGGATCAATCTCAGGAACAGTTTTTTTTTCATTCTTCTGGACCAATCTAAGCAACAGTTTTTTTTTTTTTTTCATCCATCCTGAAGACGAAACCGCAGAGGATAGAATTGCACAATTACCGTCTTCCCCCGAGCACCACGCATCCTCATCATGAACGTATACAACCCACCTTTCCGGTTCAATGCAGTCGTAATGAGGGAGCGCTGTTGTGTCCGGGGAAACGATACGATGACAGGGTGGTGCGAATAAAACCTCTATCACCTGCCTCCTCCTTCCTCTGCCTAAACAGGATACGATGACAGGATGGTTCTCCCCCATGATTGCGAAAAAAGGGAAAAAAAAGGGAAAGAAGGGAAAAAAGGGGAAAAAATGCATGACAGGATGGTTCCCTCCCATGATTGGGAAAAAAAGGGAAAAAGCCATCGAGGAACAACATTTCCGTACACAAACGTTGACGATCTGGATCAACTTTTTCCCGCGCAATCTCTCACAAACGTTGAAGAACTGGATGAACTTTACGTTGAAGATCAGAATCAAACTTTTTCCCGCCTAATTTACACACACGAGCGTTAAAAAACAGCATCACCTTTTTCCCGCCATCACTACGTCCGAGACTGTCTTTGGGCCTCGTTCCACACCACTTGGAACTCGAGGGTTTCCTGCCCAACGCCATTCCACGGTGCCCTTGAGTTTCGCTAATCACGGCCCCCGGGGCTCGGTCTCAATTACACGAATTAAGCGATAGTTGACCGTAGATTGCAAAGATCAACGGCCAGAATCTCTTAATCAGTGCAAGTGGGACCTTGCCCCCGGCCGTGATTAGGCTTTGCGGGGTTTGCAAACGGGCGGGAAAAGCTCACGGGCGGCTCAAGTGCGGCCCAGGCAAACCTACCCGTTTTTCAAGTCACCTCTCTGGCCACACTTGAGAGCTGCACTTGAAAACGGCGCTGCAGGTATGTGTAGAACCCCCCGACAGTTCTTTTTTTTTTGTTTATTCTCCTTTTTCTACCGCGTTAGTCCTGATTGAACAGCTGTTCTTTTTTTTTCGTTTATTCTCCTTTTTCTACAGCGTTTGTCCTGGTTGAACAGCTGTTGCAGCACCATTCCCGCTCATTTCAAGGGCGGACTGGAGGGTTGGGTGGAACGAAACGCGTAATCACGATTGGAACTCGAGTGCGCACTCGAGTCTCAAGTGAACTGAAGTGGTGTGGAACGAGGCCCTCAACCGATAGGTAACCGTGCTGCGCGCCAAAAGACGAACCGGCTCAGACGCGATTTCTTTCGGCTGTGCACGCACGCCATTTTTGGTCCAGCAGCCCCGACACCCCCCCCCCGGCGCAAATTTTGGATGTATGCAAACTCACTCCTTTTTTTTTGCCTTGGGGGCGAAGTGATGGTTTAATCTCGATACACAGACGTTGAAGAACTGGGTCAACTTTTTCGCGCCTAATCTCAATATACAGATATTAAAGAACTGGATCATCTCTTTCCCGCCACATTTCCCGACTCCGATAGAAGGATTTCACCTCCGAAAGAGGCGGGAGAAAGGAAACCCCCGCCAAACTTTACGTCCCCAGTATAAAGCACTGGATCATCTCTTTCCCGCCAAATTTTCCGACTCCGATAGAAGGATTGACGGTGATGATTTCTTCTCTCTTTTTTTCCAACTGAATCAACTCTCTTTCCCGCCACACTTTCCGCCTCTCAAGGATTTCATCTCCGAAAGAGGCCGGAGAAAGGAAACTCGCCAAACTTTCCGTGCCCAATAGAAGGATTGGAGGTGGTGATTTCTGTTTTTTTCGCTTTCTGAAAAGGGACTACAGCTACATTGTAGCTTAGCTGACAGAGTATTTCCGCAAGGGTGGGTTTTGAGATAGAGAATGGAAAAAAAAAAAGAGCCAAAAAAAGCATGATTGCATGTGTGGAGATAGCAGAAACTGTCAATGATTTCGAATTTCGATAATGGAAACTTTAAAGAGAAAACAGAAGAGTTCAGTTCAATGAGAGGATCCAAGAAGACTACCGTCAACACACACCCTCGTCCTGACTGTATCTAACCGGAAAGTTAACTCGTATGCATTTCATGACCGGGATGTGTTGTGTTGGGGGGATTGAAGACTAGCGCGGCCCTCTGCAAGAAACGACACGGACAAAGCCAACAACGAAAATACAGCGCAATAACGTGTGCGCTTGACTTCGCTGAAAACGCGCAGCGGATGTGCAACGTCCCTTCACACGCGGCAGCCAATCTAACGGAGATGGAGGGGAAAGGTCCCGAACGATAGCCTTCAGCGCTTCTTCACTTGAGGCGATGAACAGACTGACAGCCGCCTGCATAGTCCAGAACTCCATCCACATATCTTGAAACAATTATAGAGTTAGGTCTACAAGCGTAGACCTACGTTTACAAGATTAGACAAAGGTTTACAAGTCTAGACCTAGGTTTACAGGTGTAGACCTACGTTTACAGGTGTAGACCTGGGTTTACAGATGTAGACCTAGGTTTACAGATGTAGACCTAGGTTTACAGGTGTAGAAGTAGGTTTACAAGTGCAGAGCCCGGTTTACAAGTGGACATCCGGGTTTACAAGTGTAGACAAGTGTAGACAAGTGTAGACAAGTGTAGACAAGTGTAGACCTAAGAAGTAGACACCGACACAACTTAGTCGCAGATCCACACCAGTACCGTCTTCATCCGAACAGAACACACAGTCATTGTAGCTGTACGTGGTCCACTTTCAGTCTAGATACAGCGATAACGACCGGGCGTTCTATTCGGGGTTGAAGACGGTTGTCGCGACGCTTAGTTGAGGAGCGACTGCAGGGGGTAGGTAGAGCGCACACTCTACGACGAAGGCCTAAAATAAAAATGGCACCATGCGTAGAAGAAAAGTGACAGGTATCTATAGATAACTGCAGGTATCACCAGAAAGCACGGAGGACATGAGAACGACGAAGGCATAAACACGGCACCATGTGTAGAAGAAAAGTGACAGGTATCTATCGATAACTGCAGGTATCAGCAGAAAGCACGGAGGACATGAGAACGACAACGCCAGAGATGGGGATGGTAGTGCAAGTAAGTGAAAAAGAGAGCTGACCTACTTCACCACCCGCGGCGCAAGGGGGGAAAAAATGGTTATCGGTCAGGAGGAGGAACGAACGCGCAAGGACAGACGGGAGGAGGGAGAGAAGGAGAAGGACGCCATCGACGACACAGAGAAAGATAAGAGGAAAAACAGGTGAAAACAGAGAAGGCAGAGAAGACGAAGACACGGAGAGGAGAAGGGAGGAGGCAGAGAAGCAGGGGAGGAGAAAGGCGGAAGGGAGGAGGGAGGGCACAGAGAAGAAACGAAGAGGTGGCGGAAGGGGAGGAGAAGAAACAGGGAGCAAATGAGGAGGAGGCTAAGAAACGAAGAGCGAATGAAAAGGAGGTGTGAAGGACGAGAAAGCAAGGTCTGAAGAAGAGAAAAGGCAGGATAAGGCAAAGGAGAAGAAGCTATTAAGGAGAGAACACAGGGAGAGAGCAGAGGAGGGGAAGACGGGACAGGCGTGGGGTACGGAAAGCAATGGCAGAGAAGCAGAGAACGAAGGACGAGAAGCTGGACGCATAGAAGGCAGATGAGAAGGCTCAAGAGGACAGGGCACAAGAGGTGAAGACACAGGAGGAGAAAGGCTCAAGAGGAGGAGAAGGCACAGGAGAAAACAGGAGGAGATGGAACGGAGGAAGAGAGTGAACGACGAGAGGATATGGAATGGAGGGCAAGAAGGATAAGACGAACGCACCTGCAAGAGGAAGAAAACACCCATGGCAGCCATATGCTCTCCTGACTGAACGTGTTGGAAGCCAACGAAGCGGATCTGCATGGCGAGCAGGGTGCCCAAGATATAGAGTGTACTGTAGGCGACATAAAGACGAGAAGAATACCTCCCGCACACAAGCAACACGAGTACGTAAACGGGCAGCAGATTGATGATGAAGATGTACCCTCCCCAGGCCGAGACCATGTAAAAATAGGATAGCGCTGCCATCGTTGACCAGAACAAGGACCCGGTGTTGACCGCCTTCACGAAGAGGTAAAACGTCAAGACCAGCGCGAAGATGGCAACCCCTTCATTGTCATACGATCCGGCGACAGAGCGAGAGATGTACCCCGGGCATATCGCAAGAAAGGCGGCAGCGATTAGTCCCGTAGCTGAATCTCTCAATTCTTTCCCGAAAAAGTAGCCAACGAGAGCCGTGTTTGACGCAAAGAAGGGCGCCGTCAAAACACACACTTCCCGGATATGCACTGTGAAGGTCAATGCCTGCAAGACCCAGTAGATCAGCGCCGCCGTCACCATCAGACCTGGGTACAAAGTCCCACCGATGATTCTCCCAAGCGGGTACCAGCTCTCATGGTCAAACCAGTTCCAGAACTCATAAAAGCCTTTCTCCGTCAAAAACACGGTCGTTCTGTAGTTGAAGTACGGATCAAACTCGTGAATAACGCTTTCATACCGCAGAACGCTGAACAATCGTATCGCGAAGGCCAATATGTAGATTAGCACCAGGATGGAGATGCGAATGACCAGCTCTTGTTGCTTCGTCGTCAGAGAGAATTCAGACAGGGACGCCAGCAAGGAAGGAGACGTTGACGGAAGCTTTGCCGCAGAAGCTGTGGTGGCTGACGCACCCCCTTTGGAAGAAGGACTCGGATTTGACGGCGGGGTGGCCGCCGCCGCCGGCTTCATCTTGCCTAATCTCTCTCTCTCTCTCTCTCTCTCTCTCTCTCTCTCTCTCTCTCTCTCTCTCTCTCTCTCTTTTCTTCCTGTTCTTTCACTCCACTCCACCTCTTCCCCCCCCCACCTCCACCTCCACCTGCGCCTCCTCCTACTACTACTACGACTACTCCTGCTTCACAATATAGGGTTAGCTGAGTGAAGTGCTGTCCTGCTCTGAAACAACGGCAACAATGGTCGCCTGCCCGCCAACTACGATCCTTCCCCGCCCATCTCCTCCCTGCTCAATCGGCCCTTGCTATGGTAATGCTCCCTGCTCCCAATGCAGGGAGTCAGACCCTCCGCTGCCCCGCCACTTGGCCCTCCCAGGCTCCTACTACCCCACCGTCCGGAGTGAAGTGGACCCGGCCGCGCGACCACTCTCCGCCGCGGCCGTTTGCCGGCATCAACACCCAACCACACTCCTCCCTCTGCGCAAACGTCGTTATCGCTCAGACGACGTCCGATAGAGGTTCTCGGTCTTCCCCCATGCGCAACTCGCCGCTTCAGGAGGGAGACCTATCCCGGAGCCTGACCGACAGGACTGTACGGGGTAGGTAGGAAAATTGAATTTGCTATGGTACCCTGTTGGCTTGGGCACTTACCACCCTCGTCACCAAACCCGTAGGGAGTCGCGGCAGCGGACCACCTGAGAGCGAAGCACCTCGCTTCCCGCGGGGGTTCCCGCCGGGGTTCCGCGGGGCTCCCCACGGGCTCCCGTGAGGGCGAAGGATGCGCAGTCCGTGGAACGCAAGAGAGAAATACCGAGGAGAGCGCCAAGGGCAGGACAAGGAAAGAGGAGCCAAGGGAAAGCTTGCTAAAAAGGCCCTCCCCTCCTGAGATGCCAAGTCAACATTCAGTAGAACTCGTCAAGACGTGAATTGAGGAAAAAATGGAGAAGTTCAATTGAAAAAAACGAGAATTTGCATTTTGTTTTGCCACTCCAAGAGAGAGGTGGTCTTTCCTGATGGCCCCCCCAAGGATTCAAAATTCATAGCAGACTTTTGCGCATCTTTGCAGTACGTATCTGTTCTATTGTTAGATCGCCATACAACTTTCCATGCTGCTCTTGCGGCTTCAGCAGCCACAAATACTGGGGCATTTTGCAAAGTTGAAGTGGCATCTGAAGGGGTGTATCCAAAGATATCGCGTTCAATTGTCATGATGGACATTTGGCACATATAAACCGTCGTCCAAGTGCATTTGATACACAAAAGCCTAGCTCAGTGGGGACACAATGAACTGTTGAAATACAGACTGAATTTCAAATCCAGATGATGGGACTTGATAAGCAAAACCAAATATTTCTGAATTCCCTAGGCTCGGTCAGCTCAATGATGATATCTCAAGGCCATGGCCCTTTCAATATACATCTATATGTATATATATCGTCAAATAGAACTGCCCGGTGATATATATATATATATATATATATATATATATATATATATATATATATACTAGC